TCACGTAGGAAGTAGGACTTGATCTGAGCCTTGAATGGAAAAGCTAAGGATTCCAAGAGGTAGAAATGAAGAAAGGCAGCATTCCGAGGTTGGGAGTCATCCTGGGCAAAGGCATGAAGGTGAGAAATCAAATGTATATGGAAACATGAACTAGACCAGTTTGGCTGTGATGTGGAATTACATGAAATCAGGCCAAAAAGATAAATGGGAACTGAAAGGCTTTAAATACCAGAATTTGGTATTTTATCCTTGGGATAGTAAGGAGCCATTGAAGCTTTTTGAGCAAGGTAATAACATGAAATAACTCTCATTCTATCACAGCCCAATTAGGACTTCCTTGTAATTTTGCCACTCCTCCCAAAAAAATTAAGTCGTTCAAACTGCCATTATATAGAATTATGACTTATCTTCCTCAGTGAGAGAGTCAAATCACAGTTGCTGGCATATGGTTTCTGGAGAGAAAGCAGCTTAAAATGCTCTAATTAGTGCTAAGAATATCCCCTTCCCATTCTGACTTTCTAGGCCTTTTTTTTGTTTTGTTTTGTTTTGTTTTTTGGTGAGGCAATTGGGGTTAAGTGACTTGCCCAGAGTCACACAGCTAGTAAGTGTTATGTGTCTGAGGCCAGATTTGAACTCAGGTCCTCCTAACTCCAGGTCCTGTGCTTTATCAACTGTGCAACCTAGCTGCCCCAGAAGGACCTTTCTTCCTGAGTGACTCTGAAAACATCTCCTTGAAGCCAACTGCATTTTCATCTCTAGGAGAACAGATTCAGTACTTTGCCCCATCTAAGCCTGGAAGAGGCTGGAGGGCCCAGGATTCTCTACAGGCAACAAATGGGAGGGAGTTACATCTAGGTGCTGGAAATTCTAGATTCATGCTGAGCCTAATAGTGCCCATCAGCTCTGCTAAGGCCTCTGGCTACATGCTCCATGATTCAGAAGTTTACAGATCACCCTGAGTTTGTCTCTAGACTTGTAACCTCCCTCTCCTTCCTCCCCCAAAGTCTGGTCCAGCCTAGTTCAGAGGGAAGAAAGATAGCAATTTCAGGGGTCTCCACAGTTTCAGTCACTTCTGAAGAGTTTCTCTGGGAGACTTGGTAGGAATTACCCCAAAGTGAGCAAAATGTTTGGATTTTTTTGTTCACCTCTGAGCTGATAGGTGGACTTTGTTAGTCTTTCCCCTGTCCCCTGGTAAGGCCCTGGAAGACTCCAGAGGGCCCTTGGGGTGTCAGACTCCTGTTAACAGCCACCGTGCACTGAGCTGTGAGAACCTCTTAGTCCTGAGGCGACATGTCACTGTGGCAATGAACAGACACATTTATATGTTAAGTTATTAAAGCTTTAAACTGCACTAAGGCTTGAGACAGCCTGTATACATATGCAAACTTCATACATAGTAGCAATGTACGGGTGTCATGGGTTCCATTTGGGGGCTCATCTAGGGTCAGAGGGGTTGATTTTCAGTTGACAAGGTGTGTCATCCCTTTTGGGGAGCCCCACATATCTGGGAACATTTCTGAATTAAGAGGTTTATTTTCAATCAACTCCAAGTCATTTTGGGCAGCTGGGTGGCATAGAGTGTTAGACTTGGAGTCAAGAAGAATCGAGTTCAAGTTATACCTCGGACAATTTTTGTTGAGCAGTCAGTCATCTCAGTCATGTCCAACTCTTTGTGACCCATTTGGGGCTTTCTTGGCAAAAAAAAAAAAATACAGGCAGCTAGGTGGTGCAGTGGATAGAGTGCAGGGCCTGGAGTCAGGAAGACTCTTATTCCTGAGTTCAAATCTGACCTCAGACACTTACTGGCCATGTGACCGCAAGTCACTTAACCCTGTTTGCCTCAGTTTCCTCATCTCTAAAATGAGCTGGAGAAAAAAGTGGCAAACCAAAGAGTCAGACGCAACTGAAATGATTCAACAAAAAAGGAAGAAAAATGGCAAAGATACTAGAGTGGTTTGCCATTTCCTTCTCCAGCTCATTTTTAGACGAGGAAACTGAGGCAAACAAGGTTAACTGACTTGCCCAGGGTCACACAGCTAGTGTCTGAGACCAGATTTGAACTCAGGAAAATGAATCTTCTTCACCCCAGGTCCTGCACTCCATCTACTGAAGCACCTAGCTGTCCCACTCAGACAATTAATTACTAGCTATGTGACCATGGGCAAGTCTCTTGACCTCTCTCAGGCTCAATTTCCTCATCTGTAAAATGGGGATAAAAATAACACCTACCTTGCAGGGTTGTTATGAAGATCAAATGAGATAACATATGTAAAGCTCTTTGCAAACCTTAAAGTACTATATAAATGCTATTATCAGTATTATTATGTGCCTAATGAATTTGGGGGAACCTTGGGAGTCTCACACATATTTGGGTAACTTTTTCAATTTAATCAGGGACTGCCAATGACTCTTGCCCTATAACCTTATCAGGGTCATTGAGTAACTTCAATTTGGTCAGAGACTTACCATTCCCTTTACATTCCCCCTTTACACACACACACATACACATAACTAAGTCCCAATTAGTACAAATAAAGAATTCCCCAAAGGGGTCACATGTATTCAAATTCATACCATTCAATGTTGTAATTATATAAATTGTGCCTATTTGTTCCAGCCCAATGGAAATATGCAGTGCAGACTCGAATAATGTGACTCCTTTAGGGAGATTCATTATTCATACTAATTGGGACCTAGTTGTCATATATACATAGGGTCTGGACCATGTATATGTGTGTGTGTGTACATATATTCACATATATGCATATATGTATACACAAATATATGTGTGTATATACATATAAATTTATACTGAGCTTCTGCCTCATACTCCCAAAGCAAATATAAATGTTGCATAGATCTGTGACTTTATGTGGTAAGTCCACATGAATAAATAAATAAATAAGAGTTCCCTCCACCAATTCAGATCAATACCACCTGTAACTTAGGGCTTTAGAGAATGGTCTGGACTAGGGAGAAGTTAAAGGACTTGCCTAGGTCACCCAATTGCTATGTATCAGAGGCAGGACTTGAACCCAGGCCAGCTCTCTATCATACAGTAATGAAAATAATCACTATCACCATCATCATCATCAAAAGAAACTGCATTAAGACCTGCAAAACATTTTCCCCACGATGCCTCCTAGCCATGTGGGGTAGGTAGTGGGAGCATTACTAACTGTACATAACAAACTGGAGTTTGAAAAGTTTGCAAGCATAGCCCAGCCTGGAGACATTCTGCTTACAATAATGCGTCACTATTCCTCCACAAAGCACTTTCTCCATCTCCTTCTAGCCCACATCTCAGCCTACCCCATACCTCCTTCCTTCCTTTAGAAGAGTCAGGCAGGTGTAAGTGGACCCCTTTGGCAAGCCAGCCCTCACTGGCAGCACCTGCATGTGCACTCTCTCTCTGGGGCACACATTCTGAAGCTCTATAAAGACAAGCTGCAGGGGCCTCTGAGGAGTACAGTCTCTGGGACCTTACCAAAATAGCTGAGGAGCACAGGCAGAAAGATGAGACCGTGCAGCATGCCAAAGATGGTGATGAGGAAGTTGAGGCGAAAGAAGAAGATCTGGATGAGTTGGGACTTGGCAAAGGCAAGAATGATGATGCCAGGGAGATTTGTCATGGCCACTCCAGCAAAGACCTACAAAATCACCAAGACAGCACAGTCAGAGCTGGGGAAAAGACACCTTGATAGGACTAACTGGGTCCACTGAGCAAATCCTGAGGGGCCCATACCTAGCCAGGGCTTTACTTACCGCACTGCCCATAATGATGGTGGCTTCTTTGGCCCTCTCCAGTCGAGTGGGCTTCGTACTGATGGCAAAGGAGCGGGTAATGTGGGAAACAAACTCCACTGAGATACCCACAGCCTAAAGTGGATAAGGAAGAGCAGTTAGCTGGTTATCTATCCCATCCATGTTCGGATGGGAAATGGGAGAAGGTAAAAAACTGCAAACAAAGTAGACATCTATCGATCAGGGGATGACCAAACAAACTGGAATATATGAAGTAATGGAATGTTATTGTGCCATAAAAAGCACAATAACAATCAACAGTTCAGAAACTTAGGGCAGCTAGGTGGCGCAGTAGATAGAGCTCTGGTCTTGGAGTCAGGAGGACCTGAGCTCAAATCTAGCCTCAGACACATGACACTTACTAGCTGTGTGACCCTGGGAAAGTCACTTAACCTTGATTGCCTCATCAAAAAGCAAAAAAAAAAAAAAAAAAAAAAGGAAATCTGAGAAAACTTGTTGGAATTGGTACAGAATGAAGTAGGCAGAACCAAGAGGATGACTGCTGTAATTTAAAGGAAAGCAACATCGAAAGATATCAGAATTCCAGGTACTAGACTTTGAGTCAGAAAGACCTGGATCAAATCCCACCTTGGACACTTACTAGCTGTGTGACCTGGGGCAACTTCTCTGTGCCTCAGTTTCCCCATCTCTAAAATGAGACAGTTGGATTTGATGGCCTCTTAGTTCTCTTCCAGCTCTGAATCTATAATCCCATGATCAAATGCATGACCTATCTTGATTCCAGAGGACATACAGTGAAATATACTTCCTTCCTCTTGGCAGAGAGGTGATGGATTATAGGTGAAAAATGAGGCATTTATTTTCATACGTGGACAATGTGTTTATTTTACTTACCCACACTTATTTGTCAAAAGGGAGAGTTCACTGGTGGAAACAGAGCAGCAGGGAGGACAGACAGACAAAGGGTATGGGTAAGTGACTACATTTTTTAAAACAGCAATTAAAATGTACTTAAAAGAAAATGGTAGCATATGCTCATGGAAACCTGCACGTGATGGGAAAACTGAGATCCCGTAGGAAGATAATTCCCCAAAGTCCCCTATCTGCCCTCCAGCTAGAAGAATAAAAGAGCTAAGCACTTTCAAAAGCCAAAGAATTTTCATCACTACAACACAATATAAAGAGCACTTTCAGGCTGAGCTTGGGAATAGCCATTACCCACCTGGATCCAAGAAAAGGGGTCAGTCTCAGTACCTAGGAAATTTTCCAGTGTAGAAGACAGCATTAATGTCCTTATGCCCAGAATCCTTGACATATGTGCATGGAGGAACGTAGTCCTTTGGGGCCCTTATAAAACTTGAGTATCATTTTTCATACCCTAACCCACTAACGGTTTTCTAGAGTTGAATTCATAAGTTCTTCCACTTCCATGTTTCCTCCTCTTTATTACAACTTGGTTTTTTATCATGGTTATTTGTTTCTCTTTCCCCAGGTTTGTTTTATCCTAGATGGGTAATTGGAGGAATGGAAAGAGTGGGAGTTACGATGGTAGAAATGGAAACCACAGAGCCCCCATCTTTTTAAACAGCTAGAAGAAGATTATCTAGACCATAGACATGTCATTTAAAGTTGTGGATTGAGAAAGCAGTTAGGAGCCAGGGGGTTCTACTTAAACCAGGACCTGTTGAACCTTGTGTTGTATTCAAGAGACTGCCCTGTCCTGCCCTTCTCTTCCTGTTCTCTATATTAAGACTAACAAGTATGGAGCAGCTAGGTAGTACAATGGATAGAGCTCTGGCCTTGGAGTCAGGAGGACCTGAGTTCAAACCTGGATTCAGACACTTGACACTTACTAGCTGTGTGACCCTGGGCAAGTCACTTAACCCTGATTGCCTCACCAAAAAAAAAAAAAAAGACACTAACAAGTAGCTGAAGGGAATTGCTGTGATACTGGCACTAATTCTATGTTTACCTCAATAAATTATTGTAATGGTCTTTCTAAACTGCTTAGTTAATAAAATAACAAGCTATTTAAAAAAAACACCTGGACACTAGATTTCAAGAAAATGCAAATTAAAATTGACCAGATCAATTAGAACCAAAGGATAATATTAAAATAAAAAGAATCCACTGGTCATATCCTGAAAGAAACCCCAAAAGGAAAAGTCCAAGGAATATCATAGCCAAAATCCAGAACTTCTACATCAAAGAAAATATACTATAAGCAGGTAGAAAGAGTACCAAGGAACCACACACAAGATCATACCTGAAGTTTTTATTGAGACCTGGCAATTTCTATTATAAAAAAGAAATCTTGGAATATAATATTCTAAAAGGCAAAAAAGCATAGGATTATAAGATAGAATAATTTTTTCCCTAAAAAGCTTAGTATAATTCTATAGAGAAAAAAAAATAACCTTTAATGGAATAGAGGACTTCCAAGCTGATTGGAAAAAAAAAAGATATTCTGAAATATAAACACAACACTATAGAGAAAACTAAAAAGGTACATTTATTTGAACAACTGGATAAAGTTGTAAGATGATGAAGTGCTAACATTATAATAGGAGGAGAAAAAATAAATGTCCCTTCAAATCCTTAATGTCTTCAGAATTTATTGAGTTAAATAAGAAAACCAGAGTACCTGGGGTTAGATCAGTTCTTTCTAAGCATTTTCAGAGGAGAAAGGAAAGAGAGGGTAAAAGGAATATATTCCAGTATAGAAAGGAAGAAGGTGGGGTGGAACTTAGTATTTTTCACTATTGGGCTACATAAGAAAAAGACTATAAAGCATGCAGGATGATAGCTAGTGGGCATCAGGTGAACCTCAATTTTATCTGGATCAAACAAAGGAGAGTGAAACACACATATGAACAAAGCTAGGTGTAGAAAAATACAAACTCAACAGAGAAATAGCCAGGGATGAGAAGTGGAGGCATAGTTATATGGCAGGATAATACTAGGATGGGAATAGTTAAAGTCAAAACTAACTTCCTGATCCTGAAGGGAGAATTAAATAGAAAGAATAGAAAAGATCTGGAAATTAAAAGGTATCCATCAAATGGAGATTATGATATATGAATGTAATGATATATGAATGTAATTATGATATTATTATGATATATGAATGTAATGAAATAATATCGTGTTATAATAAATGACTAATGAAACTATTTCAAAGAACTCTGGAAAGTATGAACTAATGCAGTGAAGTGAACACAACCAGGAGAACAATTTATAGAATGACACAATAAAAAAAAATTTTTTTTTGAAAGACTTAAGACCTCTGATCAAAAGAATGACCAACAACATTTCTAAAGGACTAATGATGAAGCTGTCTGTCCAATTTAAGGGAGACAGAAGATATTAGTAGTTCCCTTCCTATCCTGCTCTCAATCCCATTGTGTCCATCTAATCTCATTAACATCTTGCTTGACTATTGAATAGACTACCAAGACATACAGGACCTACATGAATACAACTACAAAACAATCTTTACAAAAAAAGGCAGATCTGAAGTAATTGGAGATCTATTAATTATTCATGTTTGAGCTATGTCAATATAATAAAATGACAATATGACCTAAAAAAAGAAAATGACAAAACAAAGAGAGAAAAGCAAAGTCACATCCTAAAAGGAACAAAGAAACCATGAGAGATTTGAAGAAAGCCAAGGTGCTCAATTACCCAGTTCCTCTTATAGAAACCTTAAATTCCTTCCAACAATACCCTATGCCTTATTCAGAGAATTACCGTGACCAGATTGATGAGGGACACAGCATTGTAGCTGATGCCCCACAAGGCCATGAAGCCTGCAGTATCCACAATGATCATGATGATGGAGAAGAGGTTGAGGAAGCCAGAGCGGAGGTCCATCCCAAGCAGGAGGTAACAGACAACAAATGTGGGTATGAGGCAGTAGAACAGAATGAATAGGCCCTCGGAGACGATGGTCAGGTACTGTTCATAGTACACATAGGTGATTCTGCCACAGAGGGAAGAAATGTCAGTTGAGGCTAGTGTTGATTCTTTCAAAACTCCACCTTCTCTCCAGGGCCTTGAGGATGGAAAAGCCAGAACGAGTAGCTTTCCATCACCTCCTTCCCCCCAATACCTTCCTCCTGATACCCTAAACACTTCTATATCCCCTCATTTTCCTTAATCCTCTTTCTTGTATAACAGCTAACATTTATATAGCACTTTTTAAAGGTTTACAAAGCACTTTTGCGGTAGCTAGATGGTGCAGTGCCTGGAGTCAGGAAGACTTATCTTCCTGAGTTTAAAGCCTCAAATATTTACTAGCTGTGTGACCCTGTGCAAGTCACTTCACTCTGTTTGCCTCAGCGTTCTCATCTATAAAATGAACTGGAGAAGGAAATGGCAAACCACTCCAGGCTTTGCCAAAAGAAGCCCAAATGAGGTCGTAAAGAGTCAGAAATGACTGAAAAACAACTGAACGATAACAATATAACAAAACACTTCACATAGATTATGTCATTTGATCCTCCCACAAACCCTGTGAGGAAGGTATGACTATTATCCCCATTTTCCAGATGAGGAAACTGGAGCTAAGGGCAACTAAATGATTTACTCTGGTTCACACAGTTGGTAAGTTTCCAAAGACAAGATTCTATCTCGCATCTTACTTATTCCAAGTCCAGCTCTCTGTGTTATATTTCTTTGCCTTTCTTGCATACCTAATCCCTGCCCCAATTCCCCACCCTTTTTGCCATTGGTCTATATGGTGTATCAGCCAACAGCGCTTATTAGGTGGTTCCTTTACTGAAACTACTGCCTGTAGCCCACCTTTGTCCACTGCCCACATCCTGGCTCTCACGTGTAGGGGAAGACCTCAAAGTTAGGATCAGTCCCTGGAACTTTCCGCAGGTCAGCTGTGATGTTTTTTGCCAGCTCCCGGGCAGCCTGCAGAGCTCCTGTATATTCCTGAGAATTCTTGAGGGATGTATGGTAAGCCATAAATCGGGTAGCTGGATAGAAACCAGAGAGAGCGGAGGATGAGAGATGAGCAGGATGGAAGAAAGATGTCAGTATCTCACAGATCAGTATTTATTAGGCATTCAAAATAGAATAAACATTATACTGAACAATGAGGAAATCGTTTAACTACCCTCTGGGAGTTTATATTCATGGGATCATAGATTTACAACTGGAAGGGACCTTAGAGGTCATATGGTTCAGCGCCTTCATTTTATAGATGGGGAACTAAGAGGTTAAGGAATTTAGCTAATGTCACATTGGTGGCAAATGGCAGAGAGAAGATTTGAACTCAGGTCCTCTGACTCCATTAACTCTAAAGAGATGACCCAAATGAGCAAAAGTTAATATGGTGGAAAGAAAATAAAACTAGAAGTAGAGACACCTGGGGTCTAGTCCCAGCTTTGTTTGTAGGTATGACTTTGGGTGGATCCCTTCATTTCTCTCTGGGAATCAGTTTCCTCATTAATAAAATGAGGTTTTCCTGGAGGACCTTCCGCAAGTCTGTTATTCTCCAGGTAAGTGTTTAAAATGTTATTAATTCCTGGCAATAAAGATGGGAATGAAGCTGAGAACTCCCTAGAGGAAAGGACTTTGATGGAAGTTTTCTGAATAGGGGAAGAAAAGTTGCTTAAATCTGTAAGAAAGAAAGGTCATTCCAAGGGCAGGGGACAAGGAGAATGAAAAAAATGAAGAATGAAAGGGTTATGAAAGGACTGAAAGGAAGCATAAAGAAAGGACTCGAGCTGAAAGTAGGGGAAGGAGAAGAGGACATAGGAAACTTCACAAAATACTATACATAACATCAGAAACTGGCCGCCAAAAAGGCACCAGAGAGTTATTATTTTTTTTTTTTAGTAGAAAGCAGGTAAGGGCAGAAAGAACTCTAAGGACCACTTAGAGGGAAGGATCAAAATAATAATAATAGCTTTCACTTATAGAGCTTTAAGGTTTGTAAAACTCTTTATACATCATATCATTTGATCCTCACAACAACCCTTTGAGGTAGGTGCTATTATTCTCCCCATTTTATAGAGGAAGAAACCGAGGCTGAGAGAGGTTCAGTGACTCACCCAGGGTCACACATCTAGTAAGCGTATTAGACAATAAATTCCTTGAGGGCAGGGACTGTCTTTTGTCTCTTTTCACATCTCCAGTACTTAGCACAGTGCTGGGCACACACTAGGCACTTAATAAATATTGATTGATTAATTGATTGAAGTGTCTGAGGCAAAATTTGAACTCAGGTCTTCCTGCTTCCAAGTCCAACACTCTATCTGTAAGTTCCTTGAGAGCAGGAACTCTCTTTGGCCTTTTTTTTTGTATCCTCAGCACTTAGCACAGTGTCTGGTACATAACAAGTGCTTAATAAATGCTTGTTGACTGGTTCTACCCACAGCTGCATAGATTTAGAGCTGGAAGGGATCTTGGAGGTACAACCCCCTTCATTTTGCAGATATGGAACCTAATGGCAAAGTGACTTGCCTAAGGTCACACAAGTAGGAAGGGGTAGAGCTAGAATTTGAACCCAGGTCCCATGACTCCCAATCCAGCACCTTGCCACTACATCGAGAAAGACCACTTCATACTCTAAGTCTCCGATTTCTGAGCTGTAAAAATGAGTGGGGATGAATTCCAGAGACTCTGAGGGCCCAACTAACTCTAACGCAATGGTTATCCTTCTGTAATAGGAGTCCAAGTGGACTTTGGTAAGGAATTTGGTTGTGGGAAGAGAAAAAAAAGGCAGGTCATGGAGGAGCTGTGAAGGCTGGAACAGCAGGCCTGAGGAACAGAATAAGTGTGGGAAAGGAAGGGCAGTGAACAGGTGCAAACAGCTTCCCTGAGGACTTGGAGAAGGAAGAATAGGATGCATGGAGCTCAGAATTTGGAGCTGTAGGGCAGCTCTGCCACTTGGAGGAAAAGTGACCTTAGGAAAGTCACCAACTTTTCTGGACCTTAATGTCCTCATCAGTAAAACGGCAGGATTGGACTAGATGAGTGCTGAGGTGCCTTCCAGTTCACTATCTAGGATATAAATACATAAGAAGCAAAGGGAGGGGAGGGGGATATGTTTCTCACATTACAGCTATCCCTTCCACATCACAACTTTCCCCATCGAGGCTTCGATAGATCAGGGGTTGGCATAAGAAATTAAGTGGGAATTTTTGGGGAGTTTTGCAGAAGCTGCAGACAACATGCAGAGGCCAATAGACAACACAGAAAACGTTTAGAAACTCAGAAATGCATAAAATGTATATCTAGTACTATGTAACATCAACATATTTATCTGTTAATACCGTAATTCAGACTTTTCTGGTACTGAGGGAGGGCCAAAAAATGATACATGGATTTTCCGGATTGTGGGAGCACTTTGCCCCTAACTCCTGTGATGTGGAAGGCATAACTGTAGTCTTGTTTGAGACTCAAAGCTCCCGTAGGCCCTATGACTTCCAGTCACCCTGAGGACCAGTTCCCATTTGTAACAGCTTTATTCTTTTCAGAGATTCTCTAAAACTCTTACCTAAGATCTTGCCATCTGCACTAATGTTCACAGAACCATCATAAGCTCCCAGGCCCCTGTAGAGAGAACACCACCATGAGAGTTGCCCAGAGGAACTAATCCTCCTTCCCTGCCCTGGGACTGACTACATCTTGAATGTGAATCAATGCCCCACCTCTCTCCTTCAGCTGACCTCACCCCAGTGCTCCAGCCTAGCTTATATCTTCTCCCAGATTCAGGTTCCCAGGCCCTACCTCCAGCCCCAAGCCCACTGCTAAAGCCATACCCTTTGGGGCACTTGATATTGGCTTTGTCCTCCAAAAACCAAGGCAGGTATTTGTGGAACTGCTCCTCTGTGGGCCGAGTAGTGCTTATACACCTCCGTAAGCAGGTAAAGGTACCTGTGGAGAGATAGGACTTTTCTTATCCTTATCTTAACCTCTTTGCTGCATCATTGTTAAATTACTGTGCCCTCCTCTCACAGAATCAGAATCACCAGTGTTATTTGAGAATTAGAAGGGATTTCAGCATCCTTCTGGTCCAAACCATAACCAGAAAGAAGCCCCACTATAACATACCTTACAACTGGTCTTCCAGACTGTGTTTAAAGACCTTGAAGGATAAGGAAGCTACCTCCACCCATTGGGGCAGCCCATTCCCCTTTTACATACCTCTAATTGCTAAGTGTTTCCTGACATCAAGATTAAATTTGCCTCTTTACAGCTTTCATACCTCACTCCTAGTTCTGACCTCTGGAGCAGCATAACAGCCCTTCAAATATTAGAACAAAGCTAGCATGTTCCCTTCTCCTTCCTTTCATCTTCTCTTCACCAGGCTAAATGTGCCCTATTTTCATGTGTCATAATGTCAAGGCCTTTCACCTATTCTGGGTGCCCTCTTCTGGATACTCTCCAGCCTTTTGTAACACTGTCCTCTCCTGGTCCTCCTCCTACCCATCACACTATTCCTCAGTCTCATTAACTAGCCATCATCCATATCATACCCCCTACGCATGAATGTACCCCATGACTCTGTCTTGGGCCCTCTGCTCTCTTTCTTCTACACTATCAACTGCCATAAGAAATCCCCAACTAGATGTCCCTTAGGTATCTCAAACTCAACATGTCCAAAATCATTATCTTACCCCCTCTCTCCCCAAAAAACTCCCCTTATCCTAACTCCTTTATTCCTATTGAGGACACCACAATTCTTCCAATCACCCAATATCATAGCCTCAAAGTCATCCTCAACTCTTCCCTCTTCAGCTCACCATTCCATCAAATCAATTGCCAAGTCTTGTTGACTCTACCTCTTGTTGTTCTCTATTCATATGGCTACCACCCTAATTCATCATCACCCCCTTGATGCCTGCCTCAAATCTTTTCTTTCCACTTCATCTTCCATGAAACTGCCAAATTAATATTCCTAAAGCATGGATCTGACCATATCATTCCTTTGCTCAAGAAATTCCAGTGGTTCCCTCTTTCCCGGAAGATAAAATAGAAACTCTTCTGTTTGGTTTTTAAAGGCCTCTATCACACACCTTCAAACTCTTTTTCCAGGCTTTTTTCATGTAACTCTCCTTCACACACTCTACATTTGAGCCAAGCATGTTTCTCATATTCAACATTCTGTCCTGTCTCTTAATGCTTTTGAACAGGCTGTTCCTTACGACTACAATGTATTGCCTCCTTACTTTGTCCACATAGAAATACAAGCTGCCTTCAACCACATAAATCACTGATATTTCTATATACACCAATGAAACCCAGTAGAAAGAGATAGAAAGAGAAAATCCATTTAAAATAACTGCAGACAACATAAATACTTGGGAGTCCACCTGCTAAGACAAAACCAGAAACTATATGAAAACAATTACAAAACACTTTTCACACAAATAAAGACAGATCTAAATAACTGGAGGAATATTAATTAATTGCTCATGGATAGGTTGAGCCAATATAATAAAAATGAGAAATCTACCTAAATTAATTTACTTATTCAGTGCCATACCAAACTACCAAATAATCATTTTGCAGATCTAGAAAAAAATAATAACAAAATTCATCTGGAAGAACAAAAGATAAAAAGTATCAATGGAATCAATGAAAAAATGTGAATGAAGGCAGTCTAGCAGTACTAGAATTCAAACTATATTACAAAGTGATAATCATCATAACAGTCTGGTACCAACTAAGAAACAGACTGGTGGATCAGTGGAATAAATTAGATACACATTCACAGTAGTAAATAACCATAGGAATCTGGAGTTTGATAAATCCAAAGATCCAAGCTTTTGAGGTAAGAACTCAACATTTGACCAAAATTGCTGGGAAAACTGGAAAGCAGTTTGGCAGAAACTAGGCCAAGACCAACATCTTACACTGTATACCAAAATAAGGTCAAAATGGATAAATGATTTAGACATAAAAGGTAGTATCATCACTAAATTAGGAAAACATAAAAAAATATACCTGTCAAATCTATGGATAAAGGAAGAGTTTATTACCAAACAAGAGACAGAGAGGATCATGGAAAATATAGTAGGATAATTTTGTTTACATGAAATTTAAAAGATTTTACATAAACAAAACCAATGTAGCTAAAATTAGAAGAAAAGCAGGAAACTGAGGGGAAAAATTATCATGAGTTTTTCTGACAAAGGCCTCATTTCTCAAATATATAGAGAACTGAGCCAGACTTATAAAAATATGCACTATTATATAATTAATAAATAATCAGAGGATATGAATAGGCAGTTTTCAAAAGAAGAAATCACAGCCATCCATATTTATATGAAAAAAAACTCTAAATCACTACTGATTAGAGAAATGCAAATTAAAAAAACTCTGAAGTACCACATAACAACTATCAGATTGGCTAACATGACAGAAAGGGAAAGTGACAAATGCTGGAGAAGATGTGGAAAAATTGGGACACTAATGCACTGTTGGTAGAGTTGTGAACTAGTCCAACCATTTTGGAGAACAATTTGGAACTATGCTCAAAGAATTATAGAATTCTGTATAACAATACTACCACTAAGTCTGTATCCCAAAAAGATCAAGGAAAAGGGAAAAGGACCAATATGTACAAAAATATTTATAGCAGCTCTTTTTGTAGTAGCAAAGAATTAGAAATGATGGAGGGCCCTTCAGTTGGGGAATAGCTGAACAAATTGTGGTATATGACTGTGATGGAATACTATTAAGCTATAAGAAATGACAAATAGGATGGTTTCAGAACAACCTGAGAAGACCCATATAAGCTGATGCAAAATGAAGTGAGGAGAAACAGAACACTGTATACAGTAATAGCAATATTGTAATTATGATCAACTGTAAAAGATTTAGTTACTCTGATCAAGACAATGATCCTAGATAATTCCAAAGGAATTATGCTACCTACCTCCAGAGAGAGCTGATAAATACTGAGTGCAATTTCACTTTCTTTATTTTTCTTGCTTTTTTTGCAACATGGCTAATATGTAAATATGTTTTTCATGATTCCACATGTTTAATGAGTGTCATATTGCTTGTCTTCTCAATGGGTGAGGAAGGGAGAAAATTTGAAACTCAATTGTTTTATTCTAATAAATAAATAATGAATTTGAAGGGGGAAAAAAGCTCAAGCCAAATGACATCTCCTACAGAAAGCCTATCTAGATTTCCTCAAATGCAAGTGCTCCCCCAAATTACTTTGAATCTACTTTGTTTATGTTTTGTATATAATTTTCTGTGTATGTGGTAGATGTTATTTCCCTAGAATTAGAGTGTAATTTCTCTGAGGGTGTTGTCTTTCAAAAGAAGAAATCACAGCCATCCATATTTATATGAAAAAAAATCAGATCTGTCTTTATTTGTGTGACAAGTGTTTTGTAATTGGTTTCATATAGTTTCTGGTTTTGTCTTAGCAGGCGGACTCCCAAGTATTTATGTTGTCTGCAGTTATTTTAACACACAATGCCTGTTACATAGTTGGTATTTAATAAATGGTTGTTGAATGAATCAATTTAATCCCTTGAAGGAGATAAACACCATCTCCTGGACCTCCCCCAAAACAGCAGGACTTACCTTCAGTAGAAGGACAGAAGGAGTTATTTCTGTAAAGACGACAGCAATCAGAGAGAGGTGACAGCCAGTCAATGAAGTCGTCCACCCAGGAGGAAGCTGGGATAGCCAGATAAGACCTTAGGAGCAAATGGGTCAGAGCAGAAGAGGAAGAGAGGACAGTGAGCTAGCAAGTAGTGGTGTGCTGGTAAATATTTAATAATCTTCTCCCCAGGAGAAAAAAATGGACATACAACACACTTAAATTCAATCGGCATTATTAACATTTTCTCCATCACTTTCTTAAGTTTAGACAATCAACAAAACAATAGTTAAAGCCCTGATTTGTAGCAGTTGCCAATTTCCAAGGTGTAAATGCCCACAGTGAAAATTTACAGTTGGCTCTCAGGAACTAGTTGGAGTTGACTCTAGCATACTCTTACCTATAAGTCAGGTAAAGTTTTTCTGCACTGTTTCCCCATTCCTCCCTTGTGGTACCCTAAATTCTCCAGATATCTAATGTCTTCATGTCTCCCTCCCTTCCCACTTGTGGTAACCCACCCAAATCTGCCTTCCTATACTCCATGTTGTGTACCTATCCCTTCACCGATCAATATGGATCTCCGATTACTTCAGGACATTGCTTAGTGCCTGGCTAATATTCTGAGCAAAGGAATTAATGACTTATAATAACTTGCTATGTTATCTTCTATAGTAAAATGTAAAGTTTAAAGGACTATTATATCTTAAACCAAAAAAATGAGTCATGAGGGATTTCCAGGAACCATGACAAGCTAGAGAGTGAAGGTGGGTAGGTATAGTAGAACAAGGAGGCCTTTTGAGTTCTCTTCCTCCTAGAGCAGAGGACGTAGAGAAGTGAAGAAGAGGATCTAACTCACAGAATTTCTGAAGTAGAAGGAATTTTGGTGGCAATTGAGTCCTACTCATAACTGAAAAAATGTCCCCACTCGATCATACTTGATAAGTGGTCATTGAGACTCTGCTCCAATGCGGGAGTCATTACTAACCTGAGGCTACCCTTTCTTCTCTGGAACAACTCTAACTGTTAAGAAATTTCTCCTGACATCACACCTAAACTTGCCCCTTTGAAACTTTCACCAATTGTTCTAAATTCTGCCCTCTGGGTATAAAAAGAGTAGAGGCATTGCACCCCGTTGCCTAGTAGGGGCTTAGTAAATGCTTGTTGATTGATTAATGTCTAATCTCTCTTCTCCAGGACACCTCTTCAGGTACTTGAAGGCAACTGTCATGTTCCCCCTGAGTCTTCTGTTCTCCAGTTCTTTCAAAGGATCTTCATTTAGCATGGACTCAAGGCCTTTCACTATCCTACTTGCCCTCTTCTGAACATTCTTCAGTTATCAATGTCCTGCCTAAACCATGTTGCCTAGAACTGAGCACAACATTCCAGACAAGGTCTAAACAGTTGAGGGTATAGACAAGGAAGTCTGAAATAAAAGAAGTAGGTAGGAGGGGAAATGGAGTCAAAAGGTCAGGAAACCTGGAGTAAGGAATGATGGTGCAAATACTTACTCTTCAGGGAACTCTGTGGCATACTGGATCTTCTGGGTGAGGGAGTAAGGATCACAGCCAGAACTGGAGCAGATAGCATTCACGCCGTCCAAGCTCGAAAAGTTATAGCCAGAAGTGGTCACAAAGTAAACAGGCACTCCAACTTCAAAGTAACGGTTCAGGAACAGGAAGTAATTCAGAAGGTACGAATCCTGGGAAGGGTGCAAATTCAACTTAGTGATTCCTTCACAGCTCAGACTCCGTCTTAGAGACCTATTCAAACCAAATTGGCATACATATACAAAAAATGTACCCATTCTGATACAGACATTTAAATAAGCAAACACTTATGTGTGCACATGCATGTGCATGTGTGTACACACACACACACACACACACAGTCACACTCAGATTCACACCTCAGATCTTTCTTTCTCTGCTAGTTCCTTTCCCTTCGCTTTCAAACACAGGATCACAGAATCAGTTCTTCCCTTTCATTTTACAGTTACAACACTGAGGGCCAGAAAGATTGAGTTGGCCAAGCTCACACAGGTAGTAAGTAGCAAAGCCAGGATTTGAACCCATGTTCTCCAACAATAAATCTATTACTCTTTCCACTGTACCATGCTATTTTCCTTTATATGATCAGGTCCCCAGTAGAATGTAAACTCCTTGAAGGAAGGAGCTATTTTGTTTTTGTCTTTGTACCCCCAACATCTTACATGTTGTAGTTACTGGACAAGCATTTGTGGAATTGAAATGAATTAGGTCTTCCTGATATTGAAAAACTAAAGAATTTCCTTGATCCTAGAACTAACCTGTCTGCTACCTTATTTTTATTCTCCTTTAAAAAAAATCATTTCTAGAGCTTCTAGAATGAGTGAGCCACATTCATTGCCTCTATTTCTTCACCAAAAATTCTTTCTTTAATCCTCTTGAGTCTAGGATTCCACATTTCCACCATTACACTGAAACTACTAAATCAAAAATTACTATTGACCTCTTAAATAATCAGATTCAGTGGCTTTTTCTCAGTCCACATCTTCTTGATCTCTCTGCAGCTTTAGACACCTCTGACCACTCCTCTTGGCTTCCATAATGTTGTATTATTCTTATTCTCTTCCTCCCTCTTTTCCTTTTCTGTCTCTTTCCCTGTCTTGTCTTCCCCATTTTGGTCCCTAACTATGGACAATCACCAAAGGCTCAGTCCTTAGCCCTTTACTCTTTTCTTTCTACATTCCCTCCCTGTGTTCTCTTTCTCTCTTTCCCTCCAATATCTCATCTCTCCCCACTACTCCCAATAGTAGAAAACTCTGTTTTCACTCTATACTTGACTTTGTTCTGTATTTCTACACCTGCATTTCAAACTATCTTCTGAACACATCCACCTCCTGTAACTGCAAATTCAACAAATTGAATCCTGAGCCTGACTTTCCCCAAAACCCTACTCTCCCTCCTCACTTCTCTGTTTCTATTAATGGCACCACCAGTAAACCATGTTCAGAACCTTGGTATCTTCTTTTATTTCTTCCTCTCTCTGTCAGAGAGAATCAGTTCCTAAGTCCTACTTATTTTATCTTCACAATGTGTCTTGAATCCATTCTCTCCTTTCTATTCCCATTTTTACCACCATAACTCAGAGTCCTAACTGATCCCCGCTGTCTCTCTTATTTCCCCACTAGCTTACTGCTGCCATATTAATATTCCTATTTTTATCATTTTTATCCCCTGCTCAAAAACCTTTAGTAGCTGCCTTACTACCTACAGGATAAAATTTAAATTCCTTAGCCTGGCATTCAAGGCCCCAAACTACCTGCCTCTTAAGTTTGATCTCCCATTAATCTTCTAAATGAACCCTCTACTCTAGCTAATCTAGTCTACTCACTGACCTCCAAACATTCTATTCTCCAACTTAGGATACCTCCCCCTTGTCTTGCATGAAGCTTTCTCTGACTGCAGTGATATCTCCTTCTTCTGACTCATACTATCTACTCCATTCTTTTGGCAATAGTCATGTATAAAATGTAGCTAGAAAGTCATGAAACTGATTTCCTAGATTTAAGCCTGGAAGTGACCTTAAAGGTCATCTACTCCAACTCTTTTATCTTACAGATGAGGAAACTGAGGCCCAAAGTAAAGTGTCTTATGCAAGGCCGCAAATGGCAGAAGCTGGGATCAAAATCCAGGTCTTCAGACTCCAAATCCAGTGTATTTTCCACTGTATCCCCTCAGTTCCTCACTTAAAAGAGCTGCATCCAAAAATTATTGTCATTGCTTATAGTTAGTCACACTTCAACATTGAAATATGCCACAGTATAGAATGCTAATTCAGAATCAGAGGACTTTGATTCAAGTTCTTCAGCTCTCTGAGCCTCAATTTCCTTATCCAAAAAAAGGAATTAGACTAGATAAATTTTCAGAGTCTGAAGTCCCTTACAATCTTGAATCTAATAATCCTATGATTCTTTGTTGTTGTCAAATTGACATCATTAATTATTCATTTATAATTTGTCCTCCCAACTGGGTTATAGGCATCTTGAAGACATGGACCACACCTTGTATCCCTTTGTATACCCCTAGTACAATGTCTTGTACACACCTGGAGCAAAGAAAATCTTTGTTGATTTATCTCCTAGAGCAGGGGTTCTTAACCTGGAGTCAGTTAACTTGTTTTTGTTTTATATTTGATAACTAGATTTCAATATAATTGGTTTCCTTTGTAAGCCCATGTATTTTATTTTATATATTTAAAAACATTATTCTGAGAAGGGGCCCATAAGCTTCACCAGACCACCAAAGGAAATCATGACACAAAAGTTATAAACCCCTGTACTAAAGACTTTCTCTAGAAACAGAGGAAGCATTAAAGGGAAAATAGTCTAGAAGACTGGTCTCCAAACTTTTTTGATTGAATAGTCCTGTCAGTAAAAAAAAAAAAAAATTTGAGCACAGTACCCACAATATGTGTATTTATTTATATTTTGTATACATATTTATGAGTTATATATAGGTACTACTATACTAATAATTTATTATATATAATATATAATAATTTATCATATTATATATAATTTATATTTTTATATAATTTATTTATATGTTTTTATTTTTATATAAATTTATTATATATAAATATGTAATTTATCATATTATATATATATAAAATAAAACTACTATAAAATGTGCATTTTAAAAGGATGAATTAAAGATGAAATAATATTTAAACCTGGAGTGAGTAAGGAGCCAATAAGGCAGTAACGTGGTCAATCCTAGACATTTTGATAACTGTGTGGAGAATGAAATGGAGAGGGAAGAGGCTTGAGGCAGAAAGACTAGGAGGTTATTGCAATAATCCAGGTGAGAGACGATAATAGTTGTGTGGTAGACAAGCCTCACAATTGTCTATTGTGAGAAAGGTATAATTTGACCTATCTTTCCACCCTCCTATTGCTTGTTTACCCATTTCTTGGGGTGAGGCCAACGCTTCCACTTTGGAGACCAAATGGCTAGAGGATATTGAATGGGACTATAGAAGGGAGGAGTTGTATGGTCAATACAGGGATAACCATCTCACCTGTGGTACTGACAGCTCTTGGTCCAGCCCCACCTCGATCTGGCACATGCAATACAGGCTCACACCAAACAGGGCTGCAAAGAGCCCTAACTAAAGGGAAAAACAGCTGGTGAGAAGGGAAAGAACTTTTCTACTTCGAGACAACAGAAAAGCTGCTGGGAATACCTTGGACACAGCATCCAGAATAGTGGGGAAAGGTCTCCTCCCAGCCACTGGAAGGATTGCCCTCAGGGAACTTAAACACTTTGGGAAGTAGTTTAAAGCCACCTCCACAAAGGAGAGGGAAAAACTTGACTTTCTAACTGTGATAGCCATAGAGGCCCTGGTGACCTCTCTGAGCAGAGAAATAACTAACATGAGCCAAAAAGGGCTTTGCAATAGTGTGCCAACATGGGAGGAGAATACGACCTTTCTATGAGGCACACTTTCTTCCCGAGACCAATGCCTTGGTCCTTCACTGGTCTATACCACTGTTCAGAATAATACTTTCAGGGTACCCTCACAACAGGGCCCCTCTCCCGAGACCCAACTTCCCCTCAACCTCCATTCCTTCAACTACTTTTTCCCCAGATTAAAAGAAAAATCCTAGTGTATCTCCTCTGAGCTGCTAAGTACAGAAGCAAAACAGTTCTTAAAAATAGACAGTGTGGGTGAAGGAAGGATAAATACTTAGGCTGCTGATTACACTGAGGTATTGCCCAAGGATCTCGCTTGTATCCACAAGTTCTTATAAGTCTTAGTGGACAATGTACACAATGGAGGTTAATAAAGCCAAAAAATAAGTGAACACAGCCCTTTTGCATATCCCTTCTGGTCTAGTCTACAAGATGACATCGGTGTAGCCCCTTCTGAAGACAGATACGACCAATGAGATGGTCCAGAAAGAAGTCTTTTTCTTGCATTTTGAGCTGAGATTCTAGGATTCCCAATTGCGCCGGATCTAGAGAGTTCCTAAGATCTGGTCTCGATCGTTACTCTCACTTCAGACCTAACATCCCTTTGTCCCTTGGGGACTAGAGCCTAGCCAAACTAGCTGCTCACAGTTCCTCCCCTTAGGGCTCACCACAACGACCCGGGTGAATCTATGCAGCAAGAAAGGGGCATAGAACTTGCGGAAGAATCGAAGTAGGAAACCTTCACCCTTCTGAGAGGAAGGCGATTTACTGGAGCGAGCACAGCAGCAAACATCCTTGCGGCCAGCCTAGGAGAGTTAGGGAAGCATTCTCATTAGCACAGTGGGAGCAACAGATCTTCAAGGAAACAAGTTCAGTTCAATCAACATGTCCAAAATAGAGCTCACTGTCTTCCCCCGCTTAAACCTACCCTTCTCCAAAACTTTCCCATTTTTTTCCCATCCTTCCAAATCGACAGGGTTCAAAAGCTCAGAGTCAGCTTTGATTCTTCCCTTTGCCTCACAGCCCCACCTCCCAGATAGTCAGCTAGAGTCTGGTGGATTCTGCCTCCACAATCTCTCTCCCATCTGTCCTCTTATCTCTACTCACACAGCCTCCACCCCAATTCAAGACTTCATCCCTTCTCTGCTGGTCTACTGCCACAGTCAACTTCCACCAATTGGACTCCCAGCTTCCTTTCTCTCCCCTCTCCAATCTTCCCTTCCCACAGCTACCAAAATAACCTTCCTAAAGAACAAAGCTGACTGTACCACCCCCTTTCTCAAGAAATTTCATTGTTTCTTAATTGCTTCTAAGATAAAACACAAACTTCTCTTCTTAGATTTTTTTTTTTGGTTTTTGCTTGGGCAATGGGGTTAAGTGACTTGCCCAGGGTCACACAACTAGTAAGTGTTATGTGTCTGAGGCCGGATTTGAACTCAGGTCCTCTTGAATCCAGGGCCGGTGCTCTATCGACTGCGCCACCTAGCTGCCCCCAAACTTCCCAATTTGTCATTTAAAGCCCTTCACAAAAGGGCTCCAGGTAGTCTTCCCAGACTTGTTATACATTACCTCTCTTGGTTCAATACACATTCCAGCCTACCTAGCAGCTTGTCAGTCCCTGAACTCGCCATTCCATCTTCTACCACTGTGCCTGAAATGCACTCCCTTCTCTCCTCTTGCCAATTAGAATCCCTAGCTTCCTTCAAAGCTCAGTTGATGCGTCACTCCCAATGGGAAGCCTATTCCAATGCCTTAGTCAATAGTGCTCACTCCTTCCTCAAATTATCACAGATCTACTTATCTCTTTAGAATGTGCGCTCCTTGGGGGGCAAGAAGCATAGCTTCAGAGTGGAAAGCAGAGGGTATTTATAAGTCATCTAACCCAACCCCTTCATTTTATAGATAAAGAAGCTGAAGCTCAGAGAGGTTAAATGCCTTGCCCAGGCTTGCACAGCCAGCAAGTGCCAGAGGTGGGATTTCAACCCAGGTCTACCCAATTCCAAGTCTGCTCTGCCATGCTGCCTCTGTTCTGTCTTGCAGACCCAGCACCTAGCACGGAGGTGATTGGATTGAATTAGATTGGATTGGATTTCCTTGAGCTTCTGAAGGGTAAAGAATTTTATTTTACTTTGGTCTTTGTATCCCCTAGTGCCTGGTGTACTGTCTGACACCTTGTAAACGCTTAATAAAATACTTGTCAACTGAGTGATTCTCACCCTTTCCATCACACCCTGCCCTTGACACCAGAGGCCTTCTTCTCTCTCTCTCTCTCTCTCTCTCTCTCTCTCTCTCTCTCTCTCTCTCTTTCTCTCTCTCTCTCTCTCTCTCTCTCCCTCTCTCTCTCTCTCTCTCTCTCTCTCTCTCTATTGCTATGGGAGATGAGGCCATTCCTTAATTCCACCCAGAGGTCACTCCTACCCCCACCTCCAAGAGCTCCCTACCTCTTGCCTTTTGCTGTCCAGGGAGAGCAAGGCAACAAAAGCCGACATCTGCAGCAGGAAATCAAAGATAATTGCCATGCCAGCTGTCAGAGCAAAAGTGCGCACAGCTGGCATCTGAGTCAGTGCACCTTGTGGAGGAACAAATGGAAAGTGAGAAAGCAGTGCCATTGAAAGGAGATGAGGGAGCAGTGCTAGGAATGGAGCCAGAACAAAACCAAGGGACTGGGCCAAGGGCTAGACAACAGGATAGGTCACCAAGCAACTGTGCTTAAAGCTAAGATAAAGAAGTGACTGGCATTTAGAACTGTGCTTTGAACTAATTTTCCAGGCCCTCTCAGGATGTTCTAGTATGGATCAGGTGACCTCAGAGGCTTCACAGAGCTAGAGAACAATAATAGAAATAACTCCTATTTACATACCACTCTACAGACTTTTTAACTCTCATTCACATACCGCTCCAAGGACTTTTCCAATCCACCATTTGAGGTACATAATATGAACATTATTATTAACATAGTATGGTGGAAAGAATATTGGATTTGGAATTGTAGAGTTGGGTTCAAATCCTCACTCAGTCACTTATTAATCTACTTGACTTCAAGTGAGTTACTTCCCTTCCCTGAGCCTTATTGCTATAGTTAGAATTTCTAGTGAAATATTGAATAATGTTGGTGATAATTTACATCTTTGCTTTACCCCTGATCTTATTGGGAAGGTTTCAAGGTTATCCTGTTACAGATAATGCTTGCTCTTGGTTTTAGATAGTTACTACTTATCATTTTAAGAAAGGCTCCATTGATTCCTGTGCTTTCTAGTGGTTTTTAATAGGAATGGGCATTGTATTTTATCAAAAGTATTTTATGGATCTATTGATGTAATCATATGATTTTTGTTATTGATATAGTCAATTAAGTTGATAGTTTTCCTGATATTGAACCAGCCCTGCATTCCTGGTATAAATCCCACCTGGTCATAGTGTATGATCTTTGTGATATATTGCTGCAGTCTCCTTGCTAGTATTTTATTTACTTTCCTTATTCATTAAGGAAATTGGTCTATAGTTTTCTTTCTCTGTTTTTGCTCTCCCTGGTTTAGGCATCAAAATCATACTTGTATCATAAAAGGAATTTGGTAGGATTCCTTCTTTATCATTTTTTCAAATAGTTGATATAATATTGGGATTAATTGTTCCTTAAATGTTTGATAGGATTCCACCTGTGAATCCATCTGGTCCTGGGGGTTTTTTCTTGGGGAGTTCAATGATGGCTAGTTCAATTTCTTTTTTCTAAGGGAGGGTTATTAAAGTATTTTATTTCCTCTTCTGTTAATCTGGGCAGTTTTTATTTTTGTAAATATTCATCCATTTCACTTAGATTGTCAGTTTTACTGGCATGTAATTGGGCAAAATAACTCCTAATCATTGCTTTAATTTCATCAAGGGTGGTGCATTCACCCTTTTCATTTTTGATACTAGTAATTTGGTTTTCTTCTTCTTTTAATCAAATTAACCAATGGCTTATCTGTTTTATTGGGGTTTTTTTTCATAAAACCAGCTCTTAGTTTTATGTATTAGTTCATTATGACTAGGGGGATAGTTTCAGAAAAACCTGAAAAGACCCCAATGAACCATTTCAAGTAAAGTGAGCAGAATCAGAACATTGTACACAGCAATAGCAATATTGTAAGGATGATCAACTCTGACTTAGATGCTCTGATCAAGACAACAACCCAAGACAATTTCAAAGAACCCATGATGAAAAATGCTGTTCACTTCCAGAGAGAAAACTGATGAACTCTGAATGCAGATTGAAGCATCCTTTTTTTTTTTATTTTCTCCATTGGTATTATTTTAATTTGTTTGCTTTTTTGTTTGTAACTGGCTAGTATCAAAACATGTTTTGCATGACCTCACATGTATAACTGATATAAAATTGCTTGCCCTCTCAAGAAGGAGGGAGGGGAGGAAGGAAAGGAAAAAATTTGGAACTCAAAATTTTAATAAGTGATTGTTAAAATTTGATTACGTGTAATTGGGAAATATTTAACAAAAGAAAGAGAAATGAAAAAAAAAAAGAAAATACAGAATTTATGTCTCTGGACTCCAAATCCAGGGCTCTTTACAGGATACCCCACTGCCTTTCCCAAGAAAGGGAAACTAGTCATTTCTTTTCTCTTCTACCTGCAGATGCTGTTCTGACCTACAATTCCTGAATCCCCTAAACATAACCTCATATCTGTTGGCAGGAATTCCAGAGACACAGAAAGAGATGGATAAAAAGAAGGAAGTGGAAGGAAAGGGAATAAGCATTTCTAAAGTGCCTTCAATGTGCCAGGCATTGTGCTAAGCACTTTACAAATAGGGCCTTCAGGGATCATTTCATCCAACCCCTTCATTTTAATGGAGAAACAGGCTATGAAACGGGAAATTGATTTTTCCCAAGCTTTATAGTTAGTGAGTGGAAGGGCCTCACCTAAGAAGAAACAGATGGCCTCAGAGAGACTGCAAAGGAGCATGCTGGGAGCTACGCTGCCCAGGACTCGTCCAATATGCGTCTCTAGTTGTTCCCCTGAGAGACGTGGCAACCTCTTAAAGAAAAAGAAAGACAATAATCTTTTTTTTTTTTTTGCATAGATCTGGTCATGTCATACCTCTATTCTAAAATCATCAGCGGCTCCCTCTTGAAGACCAAGTAAATTTGCTTACCATGCCAGGACTTTTATAATTCAGCCTTATCTCAGATTACTCTCCTCAATGCACTCTTTGCTCTAGCTAAACTGGGTTGTTGTCTAACCTGTTAGGGCGTATACAGTGCTCCCTACCCATGGTATACCCCATACTTGATATGCCATCCTACTCCCTCTTTGCCTGTTGAATTCTTCTCCATCTTTTAAAGTCTAATTCAAATGCCACTTCTGCCATGAAGCCATCCCTGACCTTTTCCCTCCTCTAATTAGTTGTGATTTTCCCCTCAGACTTCATATAGCCAATCAAGTCTCTCAGCTCTACATATCACTTTGTTTTACATCCTTCAGTGCACTTATATTATAGATGTACCTTTTTGTGTTTATGTCTCAAGCCTCTCTTATACCATAAGTCCCATGAGAGTAAAAGCTATACCTTATTTAAACTTTGTATCTCCCCACTACCATATTCTATTATGCTACCATACACAGTACACTGCTCCCAGAAGGTGCTTAATAAACGCTTGATGAATAAATGAATGAATGAAAGGATGGATGGATGGATGAATGGTCTCCCTAAGGCCACCAGCCTCCCAACAACTAGAAATGCACTATCTGTCTCTTCTCCCTGACATACATACATAATAGGCTAATGGGATCCTCTGCCTACACTATCAGCATCTTCAAACCATGGATCAGCTCCCACCATTGGCAGTCCAACGCCTTCAGAGCTCCCAAAGTACAAACCAGCCCAAATTCTCCTTTAACAGAGTTTCAAGTCTCCCTGAAGCCTTGGCTGCTTCTGAATAGGGACAGCAAGGATAGAAAGGACACTCTCCAAAACACATATCTCAGCTTTCCCAATTGTTGGCCTACTCAAACCCTCCCTAATCCTTTTCATACCTGATACTCAAGAACAAAGATGAAGATGTTGTCAGCTCCAACAGCAAGCACAAGGAAGGGAACCACTTGGATTATCACCACAGAAGTGGGGATGCGCAAGTAGCAGAAGAATCCCATTGAAGACAGGACAGATCCCAGCACCACCAGGATCCCACCTAGGCCCAGAGTTATTTTGGAGTCCACCTGCAACAGAACTGGTGACTTAAGTTCCACACAAAACAAAGGAGCATGGGGAAGAGAACAAACAGGAACCAAGGGGAAAACTCACTCCTGCCCGCCTCCCTCCCAGTGCTTCCTTTTCTCCATTCCTAAAGCCTAAGTTAATGCGAGGTGAGCTTGCATGGTCCCTCCTTCCAGAAGAGAAAAGGGAGATCTACCAGTCCCCAGACAACCCCTAAGCCCCCATCCCCTACAGGCTCCTCACCAATATACGGGACCAGCTGGAGTATCTACCCAAGGCCAGAGAAATGTACACGAAGACAATGAGGTAGCTGCTGGCAAAGACAGGGACGTCCTCGACTATCGTGCGGCTTATCTCATCTTCCAGAGAACGCTGTGGGTAGACAGGTTTGGTGGAATTAAGGAAGGAACAGAAGGAGTTGGGGATTATGGAGAAGAAGAGGGATGTCTCTGGTTAGGACAGCAGGTACACTTGGAAGGAGTGAGAGAAGCCACCTGGTTTGTGTCCTGTACCTCTGCCAAAAAAGTGACTTCAAAGGTGCCTGCTGTACGGTCCTGGAAGTCTCTCATGACCTTCAGAAAGTGGCTCTCCCAGAGCTGAGCTAGCGCCAGGCGGGGATCCCCAGAAGGGTAGTTGTTCAGGGAGAAAGTCAGGAGAAGAGCCTCAGCATCAGAAAATTCCTGCCCTATGAAAAAGAGAAGGCAGAACCATGGGGGCCCTTGGCTCCTCTTTTTCTCAGCTTCCACAAGCTCCCTTCCTCCTTTGGGGAGCTTAGTCTGAAACAAGCTCTGACTCATCATCTCCTGCCTCTCACTCCCCATCCCTCACCTCCAGCTTATGAAATCTATCTCATCAAAGCCATCCCATCTCCTCCCATGGCTCTAGACCCCATACCTTACCCAGCTGCAGCTAGAGGAGAAGGTTTTGTCTAGCATTCTCCAGGCCCAGACACAAAGAGAGGGTCAAGGGGAGTTAGGTGGTGCAGTGGATAGAACTCTGGCCTTGGAGTCAGGAGGACCTGAGTTCAAATCTGGCTTCAGACACTTGACACTTACTAGCTGTGTGACCATGGGCAAGTCACTTAACCCCGATTGCCTTCACCAAAAAGAAAAAAAAAAAGAGAGAGAGGGACATCTGTGTGCGTCAGAGAAGGCAGTAGTGAAAGGTGGTATTCTGATGGTTTCAGGCCATAGCTTCTCCTTCCCCATCTCAATATGACAGATGGCAAGGTCGAAGAATTGCAGAATTATACAGGTAGAAGGAACCTCAGTGAACATCTAGTCCAAGGGTGGGGAACCTGCAGCCTCGAGGTCACATGGAGCCTTCTGGGTCTTCGGATAGGGCATTTTGACTGAATCCAAACTTCACAGAACAAATCCCCTTAATAAAAGGATTTGTTCTGTAAAACTTGGACTCAGTCAAAATGCTGCACCCGAGGACCCAGAAGACTACATGTAGCCTCAGGGCCACAGGTTCCCCACCCCTGATCTAGTCCCACCCATATCCAAAAAGGAATCCCCACTCTGATACATCCAACAAGTCATTGTCCAGCCTCTGCCTAAACACCTTGGTAAAAGGGAATACATTATCTCTCATTTCCCTTTGGGAAACCTCTAGTTGATAGGAAACTTTTCCTGATATCAAGCCTCAATTTGCCTCTTTCTAACTTTCACCCTTTGTTCCTGGTTCTGCCCTATGGGGCCAAATAGAACAATCCTAATTGTGCTCTCACATGAAGCCCTTCACATACTTAAAGATGACTAACACATCCCCCCATAACCTTACCATTCAATTCCTGTGGGGAATGCTTTTGCTCAGAGTGCCTTCTCCTTCCTGTACCCCTTCAGCTCTTAATCCTAATAACTTTTCCACTCTCATTTCTTGGTTTTTACTAAGAAATTTCACACACTCTATTTCAAGGTCCCTCTCAGCAATCACTCTAAAATGCCCTGCCTAGAGGCAGCTAGGTGGTGCAGTAGATATAGAGCTGGCCCTGAAGTCAGGAGGACCTGAGTTCAAATACAGCCTCAGACCAAACACTTGACACTTACTAGCTGTGTGACCCTGGGCAAGTCACTTAACCCCAATTGCCTAAAAAATTAAAATGCCCTGCCTATTTTAATGTGTCTTATATGCCTCACTCATTTCCTCTTCTCTGGTCAGTGAGATGGCTTGTCCCTCTTACCTGTGTAACCTCCCACAGCAAGGAAGGGAAAGACAGGAGCCCCATAATCAGCCATGCAGCTCAGAGCCAAGGACGTGCCATCCATGAATGTGAGAGGGGAACTGAAAGGAGAGAAATGGAAAGAGAATTTAGGAACTGGCAACCAACATCAGACACTACCACCTAACTTCTTGCCCCCTTCCTTCTACCCTACTGCAGTTACACAGGTTTCCACCTGCCATTACATCGTTCAGCCCCACCCATCCCCACTCCCACCTCTCCAGCTACCACTCCCACACCATCTCATAGAATCTGAGAATTTCTGGAGTAGAGAGGGATTTTCAAGATTACTGAGTCTAACCCTCTCATTTTTACATAGACCACTCCCCCCCTACCTGGAATACTCCCTCCTCCCTTCTATCTTTTAAAATCCCTAGTTTGCTTCAAAGCTCAGTTTGAATTCTACCTTCTATATAAGGATTTTCTTGATCTTCCCCAGCTTTTAGTACCCTTCTCTGCCCCTCTCCCATTACCTTATCTTTATGTGTTTATTTTGCATATATTGTGTGTACATTATTGTTGTTTTCCCCCAGTTGAATGGAAGCTCTTGTAGGGCAGAGACCTTATTTTTGTCCTAATGTTTATCACAGTGCTTGGCTCATAAGAAGACTTAAATGCTTGTTGATAGACTCATTGAGTTTGCAAATGAGCTAGCTGAGGCCCAGAGTTTCAATTAGTTGCCCAAGATCACATGGCTCATAGTGGCAGAGGCAAGACTAGCACTGGGGTCATTTTAATTCCAGGGCATCTTCTTCTACCTCGTCTCTCTCTTCAGCTGGAAGGAGGCACTCCTTGGAGGACTTGGGTAAGGGCAACCAAAGGAGAAGCATATGCTCAAAGAATGCCTTCTCCTTCCTGTCCTCCTTCAGCTCTTAATCCTAATAATTTTTCCACTCTCATTTTGAAGCTCCAAAATATGTGTGGAGATGGAAGAGAAAAGAGAGAAAAAGGAAAAAGCATTTATATAGCCACCACATTGTGCCAAGTATTTGATCCTTACAACAACCCTGTGATGTAAGTGTTTTTATTATCCCCATTTTACAGCTGAGGAAACGGAGGTGAAGCAGCTTGCCCAGGGTCACACAACTAGTAAGCGTCTGAAGTTGAATTTGAAGTCTTCCTGACTCCATACCCAGAACTTTACTGAGCCACTTGCTGCAGGAGTTGAGAGATAGATTCTTTAGGACACTTAGGAATAGAAGCCAACAAGTTCCAAAAAATCAGAGTCCAAATGTGATCAAGGTCCCAGGAGAAGCATGGCTGTTGTCTGGGCCTCCTTAAAGGAAAGGAGCTATCTTTTTAGGGGTCCTTATGGGCCCTAGCGGTCTCTAAGCTAATTTATCCTGAAGGGATTAAGTTAGTAAAAAGTGGTGTAGGGGAAACCAGGTAGATTAATGAGGGGGAAAAAAACCTGTGGAATTAGGCCCATCTTGGGCTAGGGGGCAGAGTTGCCAAGCCTAGAGAATTGGGCTGTGATTTCTCAAAATTCCTCTCAACATCTTTCAGTGATCATGAGGTATAGACATCAGGGTAGCACACAGCCAAGTCTAAAGCGTGGGTGTGAGCCAGAAGGGCCTAACGACGTAGTAAGAACAAAGCTCTGGGGTGGAAGTTTTCTGGCTTCTGCCCCTCTGCAGGCTTTAACTCCATCTTTATGGGGCCACACTATATAGAGTCCCAGAGGCCTGGGATGTATTTTTCCAGGGCTCAAGTTTCCATCTGCTAGACCTGGCCTCTGTGGAGATGGTCAACAAGAGTGGGTAATGGGAAGTCTTGACAGTATCAAAGCTAGGCTGCCCTGATAAACTAGGAGACAACTGACCTAGATACCACATTTTCTCATTTGCATTGTTCCCCAGCCTTCTCACCGTAGGCAGGGAAGCAGCATGAGCCTGAATCAGGGCAGGGAAAATAGAAAAGGGAGGACCTGCCCAGCAGAGAGCAAAGAAAGACCTTATCTTGGGAATCAGGAGACTCCCAAGGTCAGAGCCTCGAGTTGTGTTGGCAGCCGGGTCAGAGTGTGAACTTTGAAAGATTTTTTTGCCAGAGTGTGAAAAAAGAGAAACATTAGAATTTTTTTCAAAAAATAATTTTGCTGTTCAATTCCATATGTCCCTTTTGGTATTTCTGAACAGTAGAAAAGGGGTAAAGGAAGATTCTAGGGAAAAAGTAGAGTGAATAGAGGGTTAAGAGTGTGACCTGAGGTAAAAAGTACTGAAGAAGACAATTAGAGAAGCAACTTGGCATAGTGACTGGTACACAGTAGGTGCTTAACAAATGTTTGTTGATTGATTGACAACTCGCCTCAGAATCAGGCCTAGGCAAGTCACTTCTCAGTAATCCTAGAAAATGTGCTAAGATTATAACTTCTGATATGCATTAGTAGAGGGGGGTTTTCCTCACCAAGAATGCCATACACCATTGAAAATACAGATCCAGACACACACAAACAAAAAAGACTACTGATTGTCTTCCTTGATTTTTGGGTGACCTTGGACAAGAAGTTGCTTCCCCTCTCTGGCCTTCAATTTCCTCATCTGTAAAATGAAAGAGTTGGATAGATGACCTCTATCCTTCCAGCTCAGATATTCTATGAGGTTGCTGTTTTCAAAGGCCAGCCCTCTTTATGGTGCCTTGACAATACCACCTAGTATCTGGCTGTCTTCTCCTCCTCAACACTGTTGCTGGGACCAGAGACCATGCCCTGGAAGACTTAATCCTCTGGTAAAGCTCTGCCACTCCCACCCTAGGGCCTTCATTGTCCTGATTGGTGGGTGCCTCCCATGGCCCACTCTATCTAGCTGATCCCAAGCATGGTTCACTTTATATCCTATCCTATCTGGATGCTGCTTGTAAAACCTTCCTGCTCCCCTTGCCAGCTCTGGAATCAAAATCAAAACATTGTTCTAGAAAGGATATATCAATCACTCCATTCCCATATTGCTCCATTCACCATCTCTATGACTTTATGAACTGAAACATCCCTCCGTAACCATCACTCTCTTACATGCGCTATCTCCCCACGTTACAATGGAACTCCTTGAGGGCAGAGACTATCTCATTTTTGTTTCTGTATCCCCAGAACTTTGCACAGTGCTTGGCACATTGTAAACATGTAATAAATGCTTTTCTATTCATTGATAAAGTGCTAGACTTGAAGTCAGGAAGCCCTGGGTTTAAATCCTGCCTCTGAGGCTATCTGACATGACTGCGGGTGAGTCACTTAATGTCTCTGATCCCTCTCAATTTCCTCATTTGTGAAAAAGGAAGAGTGACTTGTAGGACCTACCTCACAGGGTTGTTGTGAGCCTTCAATGAAAGAATGTCTGGCAAGTGCTTTGCAATCTCTAAAACCTAATAGAATAACCAGCTGTTGTTGTCGTTGTTTATTGCCCCATGTGCTAGTAATTCTGAGAAAGGTGCCTCCCCTTGGACTGAACTGGGTGGCAGTGGACAAATCAGTAGAGCTTTCTGAGTCCTAGTTCTCCTTGTTGGCCCTCCCTCCCCCTGCCTCCAACCCCAAAGGATCTCACTTGACACAGTAGAGAAAGTGGTCTCTCCAGTTCACCTCGGCTGTGCGCCCCATCAGGGTCTGATTGGCACTGAGTAGGAGGTTGGTGCGGTTGCTTTGAAAATACTGCAGGAAACTGTTGATGCAGCAGTCTTCCAGGCTAGGATTTTTGGGGTTGAGAGGTGCATAGCAGATGTCCCTTAGGGAGATGTTGCGTTGCTCTTCCTCTGACCAGACCTCCATGTGCCTCAGCTCTTCTTGCAGCTCTAGCAACTGAAGGAGCAAGGTTTCATTCAAAATGCCGCTGAAGTTCTTGGGTCCCAAAAGCAGGGAATCATAGATGTAGCTAGGCTGGCTAGGAGCTGTCAAGATCACTTGGTTGGTGCGGAAGAAAGGTCCAAAATGGCGGTCATGGAATTCCTTCTCCCTCCTAGCCTGGCTGTTAGGATTTGACCACAGCTCTACTGGATCTGTGGTCAGCTCCAGGAAGACCATACCACATGCCAGTCCTACTACCAGTGCTATGGAGAGGCACAAAACTGTCTTTGGCCATGAAGCCACCCATGTGCCCCAACTCTGGAACAGGTTGCCAAGGATGATGTGGGCAAAGTGGCTAACCCGGTTAGAGCAGCCTGTGTCCTTCTTGGGCATCTTGTCCTTTTTTCTGAGGCAGGAGTAAACCACAAGGAAAGTGAAGAATAAGACAAAGCTAGCAGAGAGGATGATCACCAGGAACAGCCCACCGTGCATCCTCCCTATGCGGAAGGTTAAATCCAGCTTGGGAGAGTGGGTAATAGCAGGACAGGACAAGGCACAGTCCTGGCAAGAGCACACCTCAGAATTGTTACCCCGAGTCTCATTGCAGCCCCATATTTCTGCATCCAGGGCCTCCATTCCATCCCCTGGTACCTGGCCAGGCTCAAAGAGATGAAAGCCAATTTCCACGGGAGCAAACCCATTCCCTATGTTACCCTGGTAATCAAGCCAACGCTGGGCATTACAGAGATCAGAGCCATAGACCCCACACATGGCACCTATAGCCAAGCTGCCAGAAGAAGGGATTTGCACCTTGCTGCAGGAATTGTAGGCTCGCTCTGCATAACTGTGTGTGTAGAAAACATCATAGGCCACCACCTTGGAGAGGCTAGTCCCCGCAATGTGAGAGATGCGGGTCACATTGATGAAAACACTCTGATTGGGGCTACAGACATTCTGGCAGTGCAAGCTAGCAAAGTTCTCGGAACAGGCTGGGCAGCGGTTGAGAAGGGCCTTAATCACCACCAGGCTGCTCTGCAGAGCCAACAGCTGCTTGGCGGAACAGCAGGCATAAGTAGAGTCAGGGCCTTGGTACAGCCGTGGGCAGATCTGATTCAAGAGCTGCAAATGGTCCCCACTGAGTTTTCGGGCTGGAGTATTGGATAAACAAGACACGTTGGCCAGTGGAAGGAGGCTGCCGGACAATTCAGGGTTCTCCCCACAGTCGTCATAGGAGACACACATGAGGGCTCCACGAACAGGCGTGTAGTTCTCTGCATGGACCTAAGGAAGGGACTCATTAGCAATATACTCCTGCAATCTGAGATTGCCACCCAGTCCTAATTACAAAGACAGGCACAAACATTCTAATCTTGTTCCCAAACCTAAAGCTCTAGATCCCCTTACTTTGCCCCTTTCAAGGCGGTTCTGTCTCCCCCCTCCACCTCAGCAAAGTAGCTCTGAGAACTAAGTCTTAGACCAGGTGAGAAGAGATGACACAGTGTCTGTGCCAAGGAGTTGATAGTGAATCCAAGGAATGATACATTCTCCTGTTGCTTCCTCCTCCCTCTCCCAATTTCCTGGACATTTTCCCCACTCTTCCTGGTTCTGTTTGAGCCTGTGAGTTTCACCAAAATCACGGAAAGACAAGAGAATGGGAACTGTCTTAGAGCCAACAGCCTCTCTCCTCCCAAGGTCCAAGAGAATTTCCATTTCAGATGGGAGTTGTCTACCTAACAGGCTATGACATCCTCCAGAAAACTGGGCTGAGAATTCCCAGCCTTGTGATCCCTTGAATTTGGCTAAACAAAGGGGCAAGCCCAGCACAGGGGAAAGATACTGGGTCAAGTCAAAGAACGTAGGTCCAAATTCTGACTCTTCCATTACTCCTCGTGTCAGTCATGTTTCCTCATTTGTAAAATAAGAAGGTTGGGCTTTTATTGACCTCCTCAATACCTTCCAGCTATAAATCTATGGTCCAAAGTCCCAAGCCAAAAACCAGGCAGTCCCACTGTACAGATACCCCTTTGACTACACATTTTAGCCCTATGCCTCTGACTTCCCCTTCCCTCCTTTTAAGGAGCTCTAGTGCATTCTTGAGTAACACGGAGGGAGACATAGAAGCCAGAAACTCACCAAATGGAGGAGAACGGCCAAGGGCAGCACTCCCCTCAGTCCAGGCTCCACCATCTCAGTGCCAAGTAAGGGACCAAGTAAAGGGAGCAGAGTGGCAGCTCAGGGAAGCTGACATACCAGTCGTTGATGAGGAGAGTAATAAATTAGCAATGTAATTCCAGTTGGTATTAAATCTAGCCTGACTCGGTCAGGAACCAATGGGAAGAGATTGAGTTAATAATTCACTGTGTCTAGATACCCCAATCCAGGTATCAGGAGGCTTCCCCTTCCCTGATAAAGGATCTGGGATTCAGAAGAAACCTTTGCATAGGAGGGAGAACTTGGGAATTGGCACTCCTGAGGTACATTTCTAGCTTTTCCAGCTCTCCTGTCCTCTATCCTTTTCCTGCCGTCTTTCCTCTCTTCTGTGTCTGCCTCTGTGTCCCCCTCTCTTTGCCTTCCTCTGTCACACCTCAGTCTGATCTCCCCCCCTGGGGTCAGGGTAAGGTCTCCCTCTGGGCTCTGAACACGCCCAGTGTACTTTCATCCTTGGTAACTGGTTATTGACAATAATAACAATCCTGTCAACATTAGGGGAGGGCTGGGGACAAATGGCTCAAGACATCCGCTCCTCCCTTCCTAAAGAGATGGGGAAAGGAAGAATGGTTCATTTTGATTCAACAAGCATTAATTAAGGATCTATTACATGGTAGGCATTGGGAATATAGACAGCAATGAAAACAGTACCTGTCCTCCAGGAGCTTATCTTACACAGATAAATAAATATACAATATATGCAAAATAAATATAAAGTGGGCATTGGGAAAGGAAAGATTAACATCTGGGAACATCAGGAAAGCCTTCATAGATGAGGTAACGCTCAAGCTGAGCCTTGACCAGAGCCAGAGAGCCTGATAGAGGGAAGATGAGGAGGGAGAGTATTCTGGATATGAAGGGCAATCTTCATAAAGGCATATGGGGGAGGGGAAAAAAGGAAAAGAAAAAAAAGAAATTTGCATGATAATTTTATTATATATTTAAAAAGAACAGCAAGTTGTACATAATAGATTTGCAGTTTCACGTGCAATTGTCTTTTTTGTTATACTACGTTATGGAAATGTTTGTTTTATTCCATAAATTAAAAAGGAAAAAGAAAAAGAAAGGTATAGAGGTCAGAAATTTACAGGGAGGGGCAAATCACCGAGTTTGGCTCAAAAAAAGATCGGAAAGAGAGGGTAGAGGAAGTTGGAGTGTGTGTTTGTGTGTGTGTGTGTGTGTGTGTGTGTGTGTGTGTGTGTGTGTGTGTGAAGGGGTACTATTGGGAAATTAGTCTGGAAAGACAAGCTGGAACCAGACTCTGAGGGGCTTTAAACATTAACAGGTGTAACCTTCTGAACTACAGGTAAGAGATCTTGGAATCAGTAAGCAGTTCTCAACTTCCCTTTTCTCCGTCTCTCCTTTCTCTTTCCCATACAATTCTTGCTTGGAATTATGGAGGAAATATTAAGATTGTCTGAGGAGCCCTCTCCCCTAACCAGCTGCAGGTGTATCCCTGACCTCTGCTCCCCAGGCTTGATAGGCTTTGGCTATCTTTGACTTTCCCTATGATTCAGAATGCGGCCATGGCCTTGACTTTCCTTAAATACTAGATAATGGTGAATTGTGAGTGTTGCAGAATATCTTCCACCTGGTTCTTTTTTTTTAATTAATTAATTTAGTTTTAGTTTTCAACATTTACTTCCACAAGATTTTGAGTTCCAAATTTTTTCCTTATCTCTCCCCTCCCCCACCCCAAGATGGTGAGCCCACCTGGTTCTTTTAAGCCTTTCTGCATCATTCTTAGATCAAAATTTCCTGAGAGGCAAGAATATTGGTGGCCTAACCTATACCTCCAAAGAGACCAAAGAAAGAGGAACAAAACCTACATGAACAAAAAAGTTAATAGCAGCTCAGTTGTGTCAAAGAACTGGAAACTGAAGGAGTGCCTATCAATCCAGGAATGGCTGAACAAATTATGGTGTATGAATACAATGGAATACTATTGTGCTGAAAGAAATGACAAAAAGGACAGTTTCAGAGAAACCTGGAAAGGCTTGTATGAACTGATATAAAATGAGTAGAACCAGGAGAACAATTTATATGATAACAATAATCTGAATACAAACAAGCAAAAGAATTGAGAATTCTAATAAATATAATGACCAACCATGATTCCAGAGGAATGAAGAGGTAGCATGCTATCCATCTCTTGATACAGAGGTGATGGACTCACATTACAAAATGAGATACACATTTTAGGACACAGCTAATAAGGCTTTCTTTTTCTTTTAATTGAGGGGTAAGTGGGAGGGCTTGTTAACTGAAAAAATAAAATAAAATAAAATGTTACATAAAAAAAGTGTATACATTTTTTAAAAAACCATTAATGACCTAACATACCACCACATCCTAAATAGGTGTGGTGATTGATGGAGAGCCACTTACCGATGGCTTTTGTTGTTCAGTCCCACTCTTTGTGACCCCATTTAAGGTTTTCTTGGCAAAGATACTCTCCATAAATAAATTGTTAAACATAGTAAGTTCCCAGACCTCATTTGTCCCCCTACAGCTTTGACCTCTTTATTCAGCTCCATACTTTTTTTTTTTAACCATCCCCTTCTTTTCCTCTGGCCATTCTCTCCATTTGATTGAGATGCCTAATCTTCTCCTGAGCACAATCCACCTCCTCCAAATCTCCCACAATCTATCATCATACCTCTAAAAGAGCAAACCAAAAGAGCCCCATGGGGTGCAGACCTTCTTAGGAAGCATGAGGCACCCTCCATAATTTCCATTGCCTCAGGTAAGATAGAAGGAACTCAAGTTCCATAGCTGGGAGGATACAATGGGTTTTAAGCTGGTTTGCACAAGAAATATGAGACACAGGTGAGCTCTAAAGGAGATGCAAGGCACATCTGAACTCTGAAGAAGTAAGCTATGGGTTAACCTTCTAGATATGGGCTTGCCCTGGTCAGATCACATCTGGAGTAGAGTCCAGTTCTGACTACCACATTTTATAAGTACATTGATAAGCCGGAGCAAATAGAGGAGGGCAACCAGAATGGTTAAAGATCTTGAAATCATGTCACAGGAAGACTGTCTGAAAGAACTAAGGATGTTTAGCCTGGAAAAGGGAAGACTTTGGTGGTGAGACAGGGAGACAGGGATAGAAATGCTGATGATAACTTTCTTCATGTATTTGAAGAGTTGTTTCCCAGAGGAGAGATTGGACTTGTTCTGCTTGATTCCAAATAACACAAGAGCAATGAATACAAGTTATAGAAAAGGAGCCAAGATGACAGAGTAGCAAGAAGCAGTAATGCTGGGCTCCACTCCCTTCATGACCCCAAAACTCTTCTAAATAGATCAAGAAAATGTACCAGGGCAAATCTGTTTTGGGGAAATCCAAAAATAAAGTCATAGTGTCATTTTTCCAGGCCAGGCTGGCATGAGGAAACAGAGAAGGAAGTCTGTGATCACTGATGATGGAGTCTGGCCAGGAATGCACTGTGTGTGAAGCTTAGTCCAGCCTCCATTCAGCCACCAAAGTGGTTTTCCTAAAATGTAGGTCTGACCATGTCTCTATACTCAATGAACTCCAATGGTTCTCTATCACCTCTTGGATCAAATATAAAATGGCATTCAAAGTCCTTCATAACCTAGCCCCCCTTCACTTTTCCAGTCTTCATACACCTTGATCTCTGACACATTTCTGCAGAATTGAAATAGCTCAGAAAAAGTGCAAGATGCACAAATTTAGAGAATCCACCCAAATGTTCATAAGGACTATTTGTGTCTGACCTGTGGTAGAACATTCCCAGCTTGTATTGCTCTGACCAGGGAAAAGTCAGATCACAGTGGAACACACTGAAACTTGACTCTAGCATAGTGATATCATTTTAGTCCTCTTCAAGAACAAAGGACAATAATCAACCAATACCTTGATCTCTGACCCATTCTCTTCAATTCAATAACACTGGACTCCTTGCTTTTCCAAGAACAAGATACTATATCTCTTGGCTCTGGGCATTTTCTCTGGTTGTCCTCCATTCCTGGAATGCTCTCCTTCCTTATCTATGCCTCTTAACCTCCCTGGCTTCCATCAAGTCCCATCTAAAGTCCCACTTTCTCAAGAAACCATAAAACAAAGTCAAAAGAATGAAAAAATAGATGAAAATATGAACTATCTTAAAAAAAAAACTGACCTGGAAAATAGATTGAGGAAAGATAATTTAAGAATTATTGGGCTACTTGAAAATCATAATAAAAAAAGATCCTAGAAATCATATTTCAAGGAATTATAAAGGAAAACTGCCCTGATATCTTAGAACCAGAAAGCAAATAAAAATTGAAAGAATCCACCAATCATTTCCTGAAAGAGATCTCAAAATGAAAATTCCCAGGAATATTACAGTCTTGCTTTACATAAATTTGCATTGTGCAAATTTGACTTTACGTAAAGAATTCTTAAAGAAATCAAAATTTAAAAAAAAAAGCCCCAAACCCTATGTTACTGTGCTCTTTCTCTCTGCTCCTGCCCCTTAGCTTAGCACTCTGCAGCCTTTCACCACACCTCCCACCAAAATAAATAAATAAATGAATAAATGAATGAATGAATGAATGAATAAACAAATAAATAAAATCTTAAAAAAAAACCCTCCCAGTGAAAGCAGAAGACTTGGCTTGAGATCTCTGATGTCCAACTCCCTCCCGCTTCTGTACTTCCATGGTTGGGTACCACACATCTGTCCCTAGCCCTTACGTGTTCCCCATCCTACTCTTGCTTCTCTATCCCCACCATTGCATGTCCCTGAATGGTATGCCAGCCCTCTCCCTCCACAGCCTGTGGCCCCCTTCCTTCCTCCTTCCCTTCCCCACATCTGAAGGCAAATTTGAATTACATGAAAATTGCTGTAGAGGTCTGTGGAACAACGGCCTACTTAGTAAAACAAGAACTTTTTATAGCCAAATTCCGGAGCTCCCAGGTCAAAGAGAAAATACTGAAAGTAGCCCAAAAGAAGTCATTCAAACAAATGGAGCCATAGTTAGTATCACACTAGATCTAG